TTTTTATGAAAACGTAACCTTGGTTAGGTAAAATTGTTACATCTATTTTTTGTTTTCAGGTAGAGAAAACTAATAAATGATGTGTCGATTAAATAAAAGTAATTAAGACTGTATAGAGGGCACTATTGTCTCCTGTGTGGTAAAATGGCACACACAAGTCGGGATTTTAAAAAAGTGTCATCTCACTGTGAGAGCTGCTCGCTGTTTCTTACCTGAAGTCTTTGTCAGTGGAGGTCATTTTCTCCAACAGGTTGGAGATGTGGTAAGACACACTCGACATCTTTCCACTGTTTAGGCTGTCACTCAGGCTGAGAAAAAGTTTTTTTTTTCTACGGTAAACTCAGAAAACTGGCCACCAGATTTAAGCCGACAACATGGCGAGGCTAAGGGGGGCAGAGAGGAGAGCTGACGGCCTGATGGAACCCGACACTCGGCGTGCCCGGACAAAAATAGACGGCAGGGGAAAGTGGTTCAGCTTTGTGGCGCCGCCGTGTGGACACACGGAGTCCGACCGGCCATACGGAGGCGGTAATGTGCAGATAAACCGAGTTTCAACTCTTATTTTTACGCTAATTTGCCGAAAAAAAATCGGTTAGCATTAACCGTTTGGAGTTTTATCCCAACTTTATTGATAAACAAATTCAACAACAATTACAGTAGCCGTTTAGATTTTTTTCTCCTCAACTTTATTGAGGAGCAATAAAGTTGCAGCACATGCAGCAACAGTTTGGGTTAAGTGTGTTCTTCACGTAACCACGTAATAATAACAACAACAATAATAATAATAATTATTATTATTATTATATTGAAGTTTGTGTGCGGTTTGAGTGGAAACTAAAACAGAGTCACTTGACAAAAAAGACAAAATTATGACAAGAAACTGACCATATTTAATGAAAGAGATATTTGTATGTTTAAAAATCAGTTCAAAAAGAGAAAATGTAGCTTTTTTTTAAAATATTTTCACTAATCTGGGAGGGATCGGATTTTAATTTATTTAGAATGTGTTCATATTTAGCTTCTAAATAAGGTTAAGGTTATCTCGTCAAAACGCTTATGCGGAACACTTGTTTACTGGTTGTTGTTTCCGCCGGTATGAAGTGCAGTTGGACTCTGTGGGAAGCGGTTATCTTACTTGTTGCCACGTCGGAGTAGTCGGTGAAGCCGGGTTTCTTTTAAAAAGGAGGATTACTCGTGTTGTTCGGGGTTTCAGTCACGGTCATGGTGAGTTTGATAACTTTGCATTTAGGCCACCGGTGAAGCTGTTCGCTGACATTTGTGGCATTTTCCCGGTTACCGTTAGCTGCTGACGTGCCCAAGTCCAAGTAGCTCCTTAGCAAAGTGGCTAGTAGTAGCAGGGAAATCAATGAACATTTTAATTCATGTGCAGTATTTGTGATTATATAATGTTTGTTCATTTCAGGTTTCCGTTATTAACACTGTGGACACCTCTCACGAGGACATGATTGTAAGTTTTCCATTTTTTTCCCTTTTTCATTTAACCGAAACTAGCTGCTAATCACAGCTGATGTTAGCCTTCTTGTTTTAAGTACCTGTAAGTGAGCTTTTACGCGTGATAACTAGAGATACAAACATGTGTACAATGAAACGTCAGTAAATATTATCACTGTAACGTGTCATCCATTGTCCTTAAACCCAGTTGTAACAAACTGACATTGCTGCGATCTGACACTGCTAGCTGATCATCAGAGACTGATACTGTTCTGTTAGGATCATTGTCCTAATTCACGACCCTCTTTTAATCAAGTTTTAGCTGTCGGACTGATGACTACACATTTGACTCTAGAATAAAAAATATCTGGGGGTTTTCTTGGATAACAAAATCAGATTTGAGAAACAAATTAATTCAGTTGTTCGGCGGTCCTTTTTTAAATTAAGGCTCATATCCAAGGTGAGATTATTTTTATCCTTTAAAAACGAGCAATCCATGCGTTTGCCTTATTTCAACTGGATTACTGTAATTCACTTTATGTTGGTGTCAGTCAGTCCAGTTTGGCACGGCTCCAACTTGTACAAAATGCTGCAGCCCGTCTTTTGACTCGTGTGAAGAGACACCAACATTTTACCCTGGTGCTTGCTTCTCTTCATTGGCTTCCAGTG